GGCTACGCACGCTATCGCGTGCACTAGGGGCTCTAGCCATGAGGGACGGATTTGCGAGCTTCTGATTGTCATTATAGAGTTTTATCATCTTAGCATCTTCCCCGACACTTCTGTAGCGGCCATCATTTTTTCGGATGTGAAATGGGGCTGTGTGTGACTATGAATAGTACTCCGATATCCAAATCAAATACCTCTGCAATCCATGTAGTCCAAGAAACCCTGTGTATTTGGGCTGTGTGTGGCCATAAACGCTAACTTTGAAAGGCAAGCCCCTTTGGGAAGTTGTAGGGATTTGCACGTCTCTACAGGGTATGTACCTGTGTGGCCGGGGTTACTGGGGAATTTATTTTGTGAAATCTGAATTTAATCTAGTGCATTTGCTCTTGTGTAGAAGGGACTAGTGTGTGTCAAATCATGGATACTAATTTTAAGAAAATTTTTAGCCTAATCTTTGTAAGAGTTCAGTGGTGTCCCGTAGTTGTACACCTATGTGGTCAGGGTTAGTGTGAAGGACAGAGCAAACCCCACCCATTTCAGACTTCGAACCACATTACTTTTACTACCTCCAGACACCTTCTCCCGCGTTCTAAAGGCATCTGAAGAGACTTAATAATTTTGATTGAGGCCCCGCCAACTTGAGTGCCAACCCTGCCCACTTCTGGAATTTGACCGCATTTGTTCTTTGATACTTGACCACATTTTCCCGCATCCCACCACGTTTTAAAGTAGAGTTATAAACTTTCGGTCTAAGCCCCGCCCACTTCATTGCCAACTCCGCCCACTTCTAGGACTTGACCACATTTGTTCTTTTACACATTACCACTTTTTTCCCGCATCCAGAACGCTTCTGTAGGAGTTATAAATTTTTGATCTAAGCCCCGCCCACTTTAGTGCCAACCCCGCCCACTTCGAGGATTTGGCCACATTTGATCCATTACCTCTAACCACTTTTTTCCCGCATTCTAGAACGCTTCCGAACGAAGTTGCATTCTTTTCTGAAAAGTAGCTTTCATCCCAATGCACGCTCCGCCCATTGTGGGCGGGCCTGCGCTGACGTCATTTAGGGTGGTGACACCTTCGACAATGCTTCCCCTACATCAGCTTTTTTCCTGCTCTGTTGGTTTTCTCCAAACTGAGTTATGTTTTCGTAAAGCATTGTATTTGTGGAGGACGCCACGCCCATCGGGGGGCGGGTCTCCCTAGTTCGATCTAACTTACCAATGCACACCTCTAGCCACCCTTACACCCCTTTTTTGAAGTCGTCTTGTGGATGAATTTGGATTCATTGTCCTCAGTACGGCTCATTTCTATGCACGCCACGTCCGCTAGGCTCCGCCAAGCTGATGTGTGCTTCATACTTCTCGGGACATGGCCCCCCATCCCACGCTTGACCCGGTCTCTCCAAGCAGATCTAAAGGAGCTAAGGAATTTCGTGACAGACATATATAACGACAGACGACAGACAGAACGACAGACGAATCGCTTTATAGTAAGTAGGATATATGCTACAGGAGTGTGGGCAAATCTCTGAAGTGGGCGAAGTTCACACTAAGATGGGCGGCTGAATTAAAAGATTTATAACTCTGTTAGGAAGGTTCTACAGCGCGGAAAAGAAGTAGTTGGAGGTAACAGCAGAATGAGGTCAAATCTCTAAAAAGGGCCGGTTTTGCTCTTGTGCGGGCGTGCTAAGACTCAAAATTCATAACACTCTTCAAAAATGCTCTGGAATGAGTAGAAAATGTTCAAGGGCGCACTGGAAGGAGGGTGGCCAAATTTATGATGGGAGGGACTTGCATTGAGGTGCCCCGGGCTATCATAAACCACTAATAGTTCTGCTCAGTGAAGTATATCGAGCGGACGCGTTAGCGTGCATAGCCCAACTGGTTGTTACATAAACTACGACTTCTCTCTTTTTCCACGAGTCTTTCGTAAGGATCTAGTTCTGTAGGTCGAAGTGAATGATCGTCAAGGTTTTGTACCAGCTGCGTATGTTAAGCGTATTGAGCCAGGCACCGCTCATCAGCATAGCCAACAGCAGGTAAGTTCGCCTTGTTTATAACTTCTTGCTGATTAATCTTGATCCTTCTTTTACAAGGTCAATTCGATCGGTGGAAAGCAGAATGAAATTGAGGATAAATATCAACGTCTTATGATGCTTGGCGAGACGCGCAAGAGGTAACATGAAGTCGACATTGCATGAGTCTCGGCAAATTTTAAGTGTCGATTGATCCACAAATCGTTCTAAAACAACGTCCAATGACGCAAAAAATTCAGATTCTCTCTGTAGCTCTATCAATGTTACAAAAAAAATCAGTGTTACGAATATAAGTATTCACTTTCAAAACCAAGCTACATTTTAAGGAAGCTTGAGGAAGCCTGCAAAGGCTACCAACTTCTCAGAGAAGCGAATGATCTTGCTGAATGGATCAAGAGCCGTGTAAGTCAGGAATTTTGGTAGTGAAGTAAATTTTCTTTTTCCACGCGCACTTTTTTGTTGAACAACAATTTTGGTTTGAATGCTGAACCAATGCATGATAGATACCTTAGTTTGTTGCGAAGGGTCATATTTCTGTGGGATCAGTATATAATTTTAAAACGTATTTTCTCATAAGTAGTATAACATTGGCAAAAATTGAGTCTCTTTTGTTGAAGCACGTACTTGGCGATGCAATTTTAATGGCAAGAAAACATTCTACAAGCTCTAATAAAGCAGGACATTCTACAACTTTCTACGTGGCCTGCGATGCATTGTGCGGCAAAAGCAAGGCCAAAGTTAAGTGTAGTAATTCGTACCGGTTCTGAGCACTTTGTCGTAATCGCAATTACATATGCCTTGAATAGCAAGAGAAATACTTAATATGAAGAAGTCAGGAAACATGAGTAACAAGAAAAATACTAACCTTTAGTAAGATGTGAAGACAAAAGAAATTCTTGAACCTCGTGAAGAGAAAATACCCTTTCTACCTCTCAGTCTTTGTGTGCTCACAAACAGGTATAGTCTCTGCAGTAAGCGGGGCATTGTCACGAAATAAACGGTCATTCGGGCAAAACAGCGTTTCACGTTTGAGGTAAAGGGTAAGGGGAACAGGTTCAAGTTGGGAGACTGAAAAATTGATGGCTCAGATGCTGCAGGATCACATCCAGCGAAATCTCGGTACCAATAAAGCATAAGGCAGACTCTCTGTTTCACTGCTTGCGAGCATCTCTATCCCCTTAAGCACGGACGAATTCTTGCGTATGCTTCATAAAGGAATGTGGAGAAGCCTGTGGTCTGAAGCTGCTTCGTGATTTAATCAAGTCCCGGATCATCAGACTGTCCGTTAAATGACAAGGGAGAAGAATTTGTGGTAATCCCCCGTCAACTTGACGTTATCATAACGAAACACCATCTGGGAGATACCTCTATTTACCGACCATCCTCAGCCAAGGACTTCCAAGCGCAGTGTCGCAGACTGAACCGAGTGTGGATGACTACTGCCAAATCAGCGGGCTTGGATCACCCTTCCCTTGATAACACAGCTCAAAATCGAATCGCCGTGTTGCCCCGTGCTGATGAAAACACATAAGTTCACAGCAACGAACGTTTTGACATCAATTGCCCCCACCTCGATCAAGGTCGGCCTATCGTCAGCTGCGTGAGTGGTCCCACTGATCGGATAGCATGGTTTCTCAACGTAATCTTGGTGCAGCTTCTCAAATACATACCTTCCCACCTGACAAACACCCAGATGTTTCTGAACAAGCTTGAAGCACTTTAACCCAACAGTGCCTGCGTCATGGAATCATTTGATGTAGAGAGTCTCTACACTAACGTGAGTAATGTTTCCGCCATTCAAGCAGTACTAGAATTGCTAAATCAGTATCAAAGCATGATCAACATGCATGCGATTCTCTATTGATCAAGTGATGTTATTGTTAAAAGAATGTCTTAGTTGGAAAATTTTCAGGTGGTGGAGAGAGTATTCCGAGCAGATCAGGGGCTTAGCTATGGGGCAACGTCTGGCACCTATTCTGGCATGGTCTTTATGTCTAAAATTGAAGCGCCAGTTTTGGAACACCGCCCCATGCTCTAATGCCGCTATATTGATGACTGGCTCGTAATTTGCTCGACGCAAGAACAGATAGACACATGTTTTGACCTACTTAATACTCAATCCGAGCACATCCGTCTGACACGAGAGCGACCCTGTGGAAGCTGGCTTCCATTTCTGAATGTACAAGTGAGGCTGCACACCGGGATGCTTTCAACGAAATGGTTCAGGAAGCCCAGCAACAAGAATATCATCGTGCATTGCCACTCGGCTCATCCTTTTCAGACTAAGCGGGCCGTTGTAAGGAATATGTTCCGTACAGCAGCCAGTGTTTGCAGAGGAGAAAATGAGCGAAAAGAATCGGTGAAGATGGCACACGAAATAGCTGCGCTCAATGACTACGTACTTCTTCGACCTTCCACAGGGAAAGAAATGCGGTCACTGACAACAGACCCCATGGTGCCTTACTGAACGGCAAAATTCCGTTCATAATACCTTTCGTCTCTGATGAGGTTAGCACTTCCATAAGGAAGTGCCGGAGGAGGTCGGGTCTGGAAAATCTAATTGCCATTATAGATGTACCCCCCTACAACCTAAAGCATCGACTGGTTCGCAATCGGCTCTACGATCGCTCATGTACCACCCCTAACTGTGTGGTCTGCTCAACCGGCAAGGAAGGCGACTGTACAATCGCAGGGGTGGTCTACAAGATCACATGTTGCAGTTGTGGAGAGGTTTATATCGGCGAAACATCAAGACCGCTATGCGTACGCTTCAAGGAGCACTTAGAGGGCAAGGTCAGATCACGCATGTCAACTGCCTTAGGCGCCCTTAGGGTGGAAACTCATGGAGCCGACTTCGAGGTCACGGCCGAGGTCTTGGCACGAGAATCGCAAACACCCGCACGAAAAACCCTTGAGGCATTTTGGATTCAAGTCTCTAGACCAAAAATGAACCGAAAGGAAGAGTGTATCACAATCACGCGGGAGCTGAGGCCGTATATAAGGTTGGCCTTCCACCAGTGAGTCTGAATCACACCCAGTCCGAAGAGCTTACTGGACCGCTGCTGGCTTCTAGGTGGTCGCGAGGATTGGACTGATCAACGGTAGGTGGCCCAACTTACAATTGCGTGATGATCTCTGAGGTCTCGAATTCCTGTAAGGTAGTTGATGCGTTTGGCCGGGTAATCATAAATTGCTTCGATCGTTCCAGGCACTGAAGAAGGCGATCCACGCCGAAAAGTGAGCCGGAATAAAGTTTTGTTATCAACCTCGTCCGAGTTCCAGCAAAGAAAACCAAAGTTTGCACTATGCCGAGGTTTAGAGATAACCGTACATGGCGATTGTGGAATAGGAGGCTGGCGGTTGCAATTCATACACGCTGTGTGACCGATATTGCAGGTGCCAAAATTCGGAAATTTCTAATGCAGAAATAGTTCTTTAATTTCACTTCATTTACTTTTAGTTGAATGCACGAGTAGGTTTTTCTTGCAGTCTGCACAATTACCGAATTAAAACTTCTGATATCGTTAAAATGGTTGAAGCTCATTCAATTCCACTTGCGATTAACAGCATGCAGCAGTTGGGAGGACCTCGTAGAATTTCTTGCGATTTCTATTATGACCGTAGTGAGGGCTATCGAACAACACAGAGAAGCAGAATCAATCGAAGGCAAGCCTGAAAGAGGTAGAAAGGGCAGTGATTCTGAATTTAGGACCAAAATAGTCCGTTAGCCAGTCGGTCGTAATTCTGGGTGACCCATCAAAAGTGCGGCAACGGAGCAGGTCTTATCGACGTTGTCGATGGAGTGGATTTTCATGTAAAAGCTCATTGTCATTCCTATCGTATGCAGAGATGCCACTTCATTTCGGATATCAGCATGCAGTAAGGTCGAAAAATGCAGAACTAACTTAAGTGTGAGCACGAGTCCCTTCTTCATGTCTCAGCAAATAAAACAGGAACAGCAAAGTGAAGTTTATTGTGAAGTGGTGGTTTATTCGGTACCGGCATGAAAACTGACAGTTGGCGTGTGCCTGAAGAGGATACTGATGGATGTACAAGAACATTAATCCAACTCTTCAGATCTTAGCCCAGTAGACTTTTCCGTATGGCCCCTGTTTAGAAGAAAGCGAGTCGGGTTTGCCATATGAAATTTGAGCCCTGGGAAACAAGACTCAAGAATGGCCGAGAAGAAATGGGGGAGGTATACCTGCGTGGAAAATGCGAAAATTTCAAAAACAGTACTCTATCCGTATTCATAGGGTATATTTTGGAATGTGCTTGTAAATAGCATGTTTTTGCTCGCAATGTGAGCGAACGTGCTGTAGATTCCATTGTGTTTCTCAGCTCAGAAGCTTCAATACATTGCAATGATTAGGCACCCATAATTCTATACCACCATGAACAAGGCAGTGTCGGCCGATAATAATAGCCACACAATAAAATGGGGAATGTGTGAAAGTAGCCTTTCTACGGAGACTGAGCCTGATTTGATGTGAATTGTGCACTCACCAACAGGAAGAGGTCCGAGGTGGGCCACGCTATCAACCCAACTGAGTTTCTTCCGATTTCTTTCCTTTCCTGATTCTTTAGAACCTACATGCAAGGAAAGAGCTTCCAAAATTAGTTTGTCAGGAAAGGACCGGTAAAGTTTTTTCCATTGAAGGGCAACTCATGAATTTTTAGGGAGAAAGCACTAAGCATTTTCAGGGGAATGGAAAGTAGATCGTTGATACTTCTGAAGACTGTTTTGTAAATTTCCTATTGTTGGCTAAAATATTGAAAAATCAAGCAAGTGCCTTACCGTACTGTGGGCAACCTAGCAGATGTTAGTATTCAAATTACATTGTACTGACTTTTGACATTGTTTTGTTCTCATGTTTCCATTGCTAGCCGTTCATAACTAAAGAGTATCTACTTCTCGCTTTGCTTTCGACTATTTTTTGGAGCTTTTGCTTCCCTTTTTTGTGCCATCCAATACAAATATACGGTGTTTAGTAATGTGTTTGCCATGCTGCCCTTGCATATTTATACAAAATTGCACTAATCTTTCCATAGACAAGTTTATGGTGTCGTCATTTGTAAAGTAGAGCTGTAGTTGTGATGTGATCTGCTTATGACCCGTTCGTTAACTACGAATTACTCTAAATAATTGTTCTCTACATGTGAGGCAATACTACTCGTCGATTGTTTGAGGTTGAGAGCATAATTGTAAGCTTTGAATTTCAGTGAACAGTGTTGTGATGTTCTAGGAAGCTGTGGCAGCTCAGCAAGAAATCGGTACCGACCTGGAACAAGTGGAAGTGCTTCAGAAGAAATTCGATGATTTTAAGGGTGACCTCAAGGCGAACGAGGTTCGCTTGCAAGAAATGAACCAGATTGGTCAGTCACATTCATCATTGCCTCTGCTACAATTAGTGAAATGCTCACTTAAATGGATGGTCGTAAGAAGCCAGCCACTTAATATGCTATTCACCTGTTTCTCTGGTGGGGAATTATCTGTTTGACTTAAGCAACTGCTCTTACTTCCGTTGGCCAAACTGAGACTGCTGTCCGCATTCGTCAGCAAATTGAAGATCTCAATGCAAGGTAATGTTTTAGTGAGTTCCTCCTTCTTCAACATCATCTCCCAGTTTTGAAGATGGCGCGCTCTCGAAGAGCAGACAGAACAACGTGAACAGCAGCTCGGTTCTGCCCACGAAGTGCAACGCTTTCATCGTGACGTGGATGAGACCAGAGACTGGATCCAGGAAAAGGACGATGCCCTCGATTCGGATGACTTTGGACGTGATCTCCGCTCAGTTCAAGCTCTTCAACGCAAGCACGAGGGTGTTGAGAGGGACCTTGCTGCTCTTGGTGATAAAATCAAGAGTCTCGATGAGAAAGTATGTTCATCTTTCATGAAATCAATTTTCACTTGCAATCGATCTTGCTCCTATCCAGGCCAATCGTCTTCGTCAGAGCCATCCTGAAGCCGCTGAGCAGATTTACGATCTGCAGCGTGAACTCAATGAGCAGTGGAATAGGTCGTTCAAGAAAAGCGATCATTTAGCCCATTGCCGTGGCACTTTATTTTCACGTTTTCAGACTCACTGCCAAGGCCAACAACCGTAAAGAGAAATTGCTCGACTCGTATGACTATCAGAGATTCCTCTCTGATTATCGCGATTTGATGCAGTGGATATCTGCTATGAATCAACTCGTGAGCAGCCAAGAGCTTGCAAATGACGTCACAGGTGCGACTGCCTCTATTGTGGTATTGCAAAAGTGATTATCAAACGCCATTGATTGCAGGTGCAGAGGCTCTTCTCGAAAGGCATCAAGAATATCGTACTGAGATCGATTCTCGTGCTGCAACGTTCCATGCGTTTGAACAGTTTGGCAATCAGCTTCTCAACAACAACCATTACGCTAGCGAGGACATTGCGAAGCGCATGAATAATGTAGGTTTTGTGTGAATGTTTGTTTGCATACTGATTTGAGTGAGTTCCGGTATCCAGGTGAATGCGGCTCGTCAGGGGCTTGAAAACGCTTGGGTTGCTCGCCGTCATGTTCTCGATCAGTGCCTTGAACTGCAACTCTTCTACAGGGATTGCGAACAGGTTGGAATGAATCTTAGCTTTAGACTAATGCGGTTATTCGATCGGTAGCTCTCGATAGGCTCGTATAATTCTAGGCTGATACCTGGATGTCTGCCAGGGAGAACTTTCTAGCTCAGGAAGACCCAGCTGGTGATAATGTAGAATCTTTGATCAAGAAGCATGAAGATTTCGACAAGGCCATCAACAGTCAGCAAGAGAAGATTGCTGGATTACAGGTAAACGCAGTCGGCTTCAGACAAGGAATACCCCGAGGGGTTCCATGTTATAGCAATTCGCCAATCAGCTCATCAACAGCAATCATTACGACAAGGAGGCTGTAGCTCGCAAGCGCGACATGATTCTCGATAGGTGATCAGCTTTCTTGTCTTTCTGTCTGTCTTTCACTTCCTTGTCTTTCCTCACACCACTAGATGAAGGAATTGGTTAGAATTCATACAATTGGTACCAGGTGGGAGCGCCTGAAATCAGCCCTCATTGAAAAACGAAGCAAACTTGGTGAGAGTCAAACGTTGCAACAGTTCAGTCGTGATGCAGATGAAATTGAAAACTGGATTGCAGAAAAATTTCAGGTGACTATTAGGTCTGTAGAGTGATAAGTTCTTTTGATGAGTTCTAAGAATATCGTTGTTGAAGGTTGCTCAAGAAGAAAACTATCGTGATCCCACTAACATTCAACAAAAACACCAGAAGCAGCAAGCGTTCGAAGCGGAACTGGCTGCCAATGCTGATCGTATAGCTACCCTTATTACCGCAGGTCAAAATCTCATTGATGGAGCCAAGTGTGCTGGAGGCGAGGACGCTGTTAGTGCACGACTAAAGGCATTAAATGACCAATGGGAGCTGCTCGTGAAGACCACTACCGAGAAGAGTTACAGGTTAGAATAGCTCTTGTTGTCGATTTATGGAGTAGTGTGAATCAGGCTGCATCCATTTCAGGCTCAAGGAAGCCAACAAGCAGAAGAGCTTTATGGCTGCAGTGAAGGATTTAGAGTTTTGGCTTGGCGAAGTTGAAATTCTTCTGCAATCCGATGATTACGGGAAGGTCAGCGTTTATACTAATTCAAAATCTTCAGATGTAGTATGTATTATAGGATTTGGCATCAATCGAGAATCTTCTGAAGAAGCATCAATTACTCGAAGCCGATATAATTGCCCACCAAGATCGTGTGCACGAGATGAATCAGCAAGCGGACTCTCTCCTTGAAAGAGATCAGTTCGCTGGTCAGCAAATCGCTGAACGTCGCAAGGTTCGGAACTCAAGAGTGCCAGCCGTTATAAATTAGTTGCTTGAGGATAGTTGCGCCATTTTCAGGTGATCGCTGACCGTTATGAACATGTGAAAGAAATGGCAAACGATCGTCGTGACAAACTCAATAAAGCATTGAATGTGCACCAGTTTTTCCGCGATATCGATGATGAGGAGTCATGGATTAAGTGAGTCAGATGACTATTTATGGCCGCTCTCGTATAAGAACGTCGACATTCCACATTCAAGGGAAAAGAAACTTCTCGTCTCGTCGGATGATTATGGACGTGATCTTCCTGGGGTTCAAAATCTTCGTCGTAAACATCGTCGCCTTGATACTGAATTGGCTAGCCATGAACCGCTGGTAGGGTTCTTTGAAGAAGCTGAGATGCTGAATAAGAAACACTGTATTGGTTTAGGTCTCGCAGGTTCGTTTGAAGGGGGAAGAACTTCTGCGTTCATCGGAGATTGGTGGAGATGAGATCCAGAAGAGGATGGCAGATTTAGAGCGTAGTTGGGGGCAGATTCGGGACCTTACAGGCAGTCGGTTAGTCCGTTTTGCGTTAAAACCTTTTGATATCTTATTTTTACTGATTTTTCGATGTGCTCCTGTTATTAAAAATTTGCTTTTCTCAACTTTTTTCTGATAGCGAATAATTCTGTTCTTTGCTTTCAGTCATCAGAAGCTCAGCGAATCCGAAGAATTCCAAGAATTCTTGGGCAAAATCGAGGAAGAGGATGCATGGATGAACGAAAAGCAGCAGATTCTCGGTAGGATAAATTTGATTTTGTCGCCTAATAATGCTTAATGGGCGGAGGTGGTGTAGTGTAGTGGGAAGTGGCCACTTCACACACGCATGGTCACGCGTTCGTGTCCCAGATCGATGTTCATCTCGTCCAACCAAGCCTTCCATCCCTCCGGGGTCGGTTGATTGGTACAAGACTCGCCTGAGAGGATAAAGTCACTGACCTGCACACCAGTTGGCCACCGCACACCGCAATCATTGTATAGGCCACTCATTACGCTCAGAAAGTATTGATTAGCGCTGAAAACTTTGTCCTTTATCCTTTAATAATGCTCAATATCGTCATTATTGTTATAGGCTCGGACAACTTTGGTGACAATATGGCTGGTGTGCAAGGTCTGCTCAAGAAGCACGATACGTTTGAAGTGGATCTCCAGCTGCACAAACAACGAGTTGATGATTTGGTCCGTCAGGGTAAACAGGTAAAGTTTGGTCTAAGCATCTTCGGAACGGTCTTATTGAGCACCATATGATTGTAGCTGGTTGAATCCGGAAATCATCATGGTCCCCGTATCAAGGACCGTTGTGACCAGCTACTAAAGCGCCTTCGTGATATTCAAGACATGGCCGCTCGACGTCTGCAAAAGCTTCGCGACAATTCTGCTTACTTGCAATTCATGTGGAAGTGTGACGTTGTGGAAAGCTGGATTGGTATGTATCCTGTTGCCCTTCTGTGTGTTATCATAAAATGGTATGTTGTTCAGCCGAAAAGGAGCAGCAAGTGCGTTCTGATGACTACGGGCGCGACCTGTCATCGGTGCAGATTCTGCTCACGAAACAGGAAGCATTTGATGCTGGTTTGAATGCGTTCGAGCATGAAGGAATTCAGAGGCAGATCTCACTTCTTTCCTAGTTCGGTATTTCCTTAATTTAGGCATTACGTGTTTTCTTGCAGAATTACGGAACTGAAAGACCAACTAGTGAGCAGCTCTCATCACCAGTCACTAGCCATCCAGAAACGCCATGGCAATGTCATTACTCGATGGCAACAACTTCTGGCTCATTCGGAAGGACGTCGTCAGAAATTGCTTAAGATGCAGGACCAATACAAGCAAATTGAGGTGTGAAAATATTTTTCATGGACTGAACGAGTTTTCACCGTAGATTGGTTCAGGAACTCTATTTGGCATTCGCCAAGAAAGCCTCAACCTTCAATTCTTGGTTTGAGAACGCTGAGGAAGATTTGACGGATCCAGTAAGATGCAATTCATTAGAAGAAATCCGCGCCCTTCGGGAGGCTCATGCTGAGTTTCAAGTTTGTTCATGTTACTTCAACTTTGCAACGCTGCTTCTTAGCGAGTCGCTATATTTGGAGGAGGGAGGAGGTGGGGTTTAATAGCTCAACAAGTGCTATTGAGTATAAGTCTAAGCGAACATTTTGGTTCCTTGAAAAGACTTCAAAATACAAATGTCACATCCTTGTGAACTCATCAAATGTGTAGCGTGACCTTCTTCTTACGGAGCTCAGCTTTGGATCTCGTTTGTGCAGGTTTATCCGGTAACGTCACTATCGTTGCGGTTAACGTTAGTGGTCAGCCTTCCGACTTTAGGCACCAAGCGGTATTCGCTCCAATAATGGGTCGTCTTTATTGCGTTTGATGGGTAAGTAGCAGATACTACGCGGCGTCAAGTGAATCTTCTTCAACTCATGCGGTACCTGAACACCTAGCTTTTTCACTAATCTATTTTTTTTATATTCCCGTTAACATACCAAATGGATACGTTGGTCTTCCCACAAGGATCCCAAGTTGAAGAGACCATTTGAAATGAGACTTATGCTGCTGTACGCATTTCCGGGTGCTGATTTTGAATCTGCTCCCAAATCTGCCAAACGATTCTCTGAACGAACTTATGGAAGTGGTTCCAGGTAAGTGCTTAACATCGACAAGCACTTGAGACATGGAAGCAACAGCAATCGCAGCGGTGATTCGGAGCAGCGGTAAGCAGGACGCTTTAAGTGCGTGTGGGAATGGATGAGATTTTGTGAAGGACGCGGTTTTTGCATTTTGCGGGCGTTTTCCTCAGGAACCGGAAATCCTTTGTATGCTTATATCACCACCTTCAACGGCCTTTTTGATGGCTAAGGTGATCCGGTACTGTACAATATCGCTACTAACTAGTTGCTTTCCCGTGTAAATCACTTGCTCTGTGGGATACCCGAAGAAAATCACCCACTGCAACTTTCAGCCTCATGTGGCTCGAAGAGAGTCGAAGGGGTCGCGCAATCATTCTCTTCTAGAGGCCACTCTTTCGCAATTATGTCTTACCACGTCGCTGGTGGCCACCTATTGTTAGGTTGATGCAGGCCTTCTGTAAATATTGTGCATTACTCTACTTTTATATATTAGCTTTGGTAGCGTCACTGGTACGGCGAGTCTGCTACATCCATTAGGAGTTTATTTCTTCTTGTCGTTTAGCAACTTGCTCAAAATTAACAAATTTTTTTACACTAGTACTGTAAGCATACAATCTAAGCATAACTCTAATATTACGAAAATCCCCAGAACGTGTCCTTCTGAAGGCTGATCCTGTATATTTTTCAGAACCATCAATTTTTCCGGGAAGATAACTTCCCTCTTCCCATGTAAGACAAGTTCTCCTGAAATGGTTTCAAACTTTATCTTGAAGATGTTATTCGATGTATTATGCAGTGTCCTAGTATAACTCTGAATACTACAGAAATCCACAAAACGTGTTCTCCTGAAGCCTGATCCTGCATATTCTTCGGAATCAGACATTTTTCCGAGGAAGATAACTTCCTTCTTCCCAAGTGAGACAAGTTGTCCTGAAATGGTGGCACATGCATAGTAACCCATAATCACAACTTTTGAATGCACATTTACGACTGCATACTTTCCGCGCGTATTACTTCTCTACTTTCTAGCTCCGTACTCCTGAATTTGGAAGACCTCTTTTGTTCTAACATACCGCTTGTACATTGAGCCCTCATTCAGGTGATTTGAGTACGCCCGCAAGGTTCTGCCTTCCGTTCGCTAAGTACGTGATGTGAAAAAACGGCCCGATGCAATTACTCTATTCTTTGCTTCTATTGTGAAAAGCTTACTTGTTTCGATACTGAAAGTTTAAAGTTATCATTCTGTGGATGTATAATGAAAAGAGCAAAGAACCATATTGGATGATTTGGATAGGAACCAAGTCACCTTAGGCATCAGAAAGGCCGTTGAAGGTGGTAAAATAAGCATATAATGAATAGAGCAAAGAACCATATTGGATGATTTGGATAGGAACCGAGTCACCTTAGGCATCAGAAAGGCCGTTGAAGGTGGTAAAATAAGCATTTAAAGGTTGTGCGGTTTTTGAGGGGAAGTCCCGCAAAATGCAAAAACCACCTCTGTCACAACCCTCGGCCTCACGCACGTAAAACGTCACGCTTACCTCTATTCCAAATTACCGCTCGGTGGACTGTTGCATCCATGTCTTAAAGGCACTGTTCACGAAAAAATGGTTTCGGAGATTTGCACATGGTTTGAATTCGACGCCCCCTCTGATACCATTTGTGCAGGAATGGGGTCGGAAAACGGCTGGATAGGGCACAATAAGGGGCCGGAGAGTTACCCACGGTCGCCCTCCGCCCCTCGCCAAGCTGACTACGAAATCTAATTGCCGTTCACCACTTTCGCATTGGAGCAAAGTTGGTGAAAAGTCGATAAGCTGGTTGGCAAATTGCCAGAGACGCAATGTGTTGTCTGCTATTGCAACACATTGCGTCGCTTTCGTGCACTCGCCCGAATACTCCCTAACCGCCGTTATTTCAATGTGAATCTCGTCCAACCCCTTTTCCAGCTCTTTTTTGACCCTTTGTAATTCTTTTTGTACATCGTTTTTTTTGCGCTTTTGTCGTTGTTATCGCTTTATTCTAGAGTAGTTCTATCAATTCCCGTCAAAAAGGGTACCCTAAGTTTATTGCTAACGGTGCCTTTAAGTGCTTGTTTGCTTCAAGCACCCACCTGAAACTACCTACGCAACTTCGTTCAGAGAATCTTGTGGTTTATTTCGAGAGCAATTTCGAAATCAGCACCCGGAAATACAGTAGCGATCAAAGTTTTTGGTGAGACGCTTTTCCAATCGTAACCCTTTTTCTAGCAAAGGGATTCGAGAAAAATCTTGCGATGTCAAACCTGACCTTGAACCAAACTAGTTTATACATTTTGGCTATGGAAGTGGGGGATCACTTAACTATGCGCAGAAGTTTTACTACTGAAGCGATTTTCTGGTTGTGAGGTTAGCGATAATTGCATTTTTTGCATCCCATTTGTGCTCGATGATAGTCCTTGTACACTTAAGACATGCATCGAAGGGCAGAATTCACTTACAAGGAAGGTCTTTCAGGGCGAGGGACGCTTTTCGAAAATGGTTTTTTGCATGGTATAGGGGCATGAGCACTGAATATAGAACTATGGTCCATTTCCGTCAAATGGACCATAGTTCTATACTCAGTGCTCATGCCTTCCGAATGTCAAAAAAGGAGTGAAAATGATTTTGTCAGAAGTTGCCGTTTTAACCCACTGAGCGTCGTTTGTTTCATTCATGGCGTCAACTGTCCGCACAGTAAGAGGCGCCAGTGGACTGCGCATTGAAAATGGCGTGAACGGTAGCCAAAAAAAGGGGCCCCATGTTGAAACGTGCTGAGAAGTGCAGGGAAGTTTCATATATGCTCTCCACTGTTGAGCTGCTGCTTCGACGGATGGTGTGATGGGTAGCGATGTGGACTTCGAGTTGGGACGACGAAGCTGTGTTGATGGTTCGAATCTTCGATGCTTTGCCGTTTTTGCATCTTATTTTGCCACCTGATTGGCTCCCTATTGCACCAGGGCCAAAGCAAGTGCCTGACTGGTCATGGTCGTGACCAGGACCAGCGTTAACCTTTACAAAACTTGATAATTAGTTGGAATTTGATATGTGGCGTACTATCAGTAAAGTGCCTTCTGGCTTCACACTCCCAGGAGTCCCCCTTCTCCCCCCCCCCCCCCCCCCTCAACTTACTCACGTAGTTCTTTCATCAGTTCGGCGTAAATTGTTGGTAAATTGGTATTGGTATGATCTCATTTTGGTAGTCAAAAAACTCGGTCATATCATCTGGCCTTCGGACATTGTATGGACATTGCACAGTCCATACAATTCTTTGAATGATTTGGGCAGTAATGGTTTGATTTTTTTTTATTCCGACCGAATTACTTCAAAACTGATGGAAGGCGCATCTACTTTTGATGATTTCATCGTTTTTTACCCTAGCCTTGATCTCACGCCGTTGAAGGGTTTTTGTCCACTGTTCTGGTTGGTCATCTCCATTTCCTTCTCTCCTCACGATCAGTATCTTCTGCAGTTACCTCGACTTCAGCAATGTCCTTTTTGATCGCGTCCTGCCAGCCTTTCATAGCAGGACGCGGAGTTAGGGGATCGTATGTTGGGGACGAGTATCGCCCAAACCTTTCATCTAGTCAATGCTCATGGAACTTTCAGCAAGAAGACGAGTTGAAAGAGAATCTGATTCGTTTTTCCACAGAAGTCCGCGGTTGACGCCCAGGAAAAAGTCGGAATCGGGAGCTACAATGTATATGGGAATCCTGTTATCTCTGCATTGACGAACGAGGTCGAGGACAGCTTTCATCGAACAGGAGCCATATTATAGGGTTTTGACCCCCACTTATATGATGTGAAATGAGACTCTTTTATACTCCTGGGAGTGTGAAGCCTTGAAGCTCCTTCACTGATATTGCGCCACATATCAAATTCTTACGATTTCTAGAGGTTAACGCTGGACCTGGTCACGACCATGACCAGTCAGGCACTTGCTTTGGCCCTGGTGCAATGTGGAGCCAATCTGGAGGTGGCAACATAAAATGCAAAAACGGCACAGCCTTGGGGATCCGAACCACCAACCCAGCCTATCCGTCCCAACTCGAAGTCCACATCGCTATCCACCACATCATCCGTCGCTGCCAGCAGCTTAACCGCGGAGAGCAAATATGAAACTTCCCTGCACTTTTCAACATGGTTCAACATGCGACTCCCTTTCTTGGCTATCGCTCACGTTATTTTCAATGCGCAGTCGACTGGCGCCTCCTACTGTGCGGACAGTTGACGCCATGAATGAAACAAACGACGCTTAGTGGGTTAAAACGGCATTTCTGACAAAATAATTTTCACTCTTTTTGGCATTTAGAAGGCCATTCAGTGGAAATGGACCATAGTTCTATACTCAGTGCTCATGCCCCTACACCATGCAAAGAACCATTTTCAAAAAGCGTCCCACGCCGTGAAGGACCTTTCTTGTTAGGGAGTTTGGCAGGAAACAGTAGACATGAAGGAGTTGGCATGAAAGTCACGGTCATTTCAAGTTGGAGGTTCTTCCGATTATTCAACGCTGTCAGGTCAGAAACTCTGCAATGCTGAGAGAATGGGTGAACCCCGATGAACATCACCAGCACAGGACATACGGATCAAACTCGGTCAAAACCCAACCCTCGTCTCACTGCGGCTGACATTGCCGCTCTGTTCAGCGCTAACAATGGCACTTAGTCGGCGCACTGTACACCTGAACAATGCTGGTAATTATTGGAAGCGTTCGGCCAAAAAGCCGTTCATCAGTCTAACAAATAGTAGAGCTTAAGCGGAGTTTGCACGCCGTCACCTCAACTGAACTTCGACTGATTTAAAAGAGTTCCTTTTACAGACGAGAGCAAGTTCAATTAGTTCCGAAGCTGTGGTATACGGTACGGCGACGTCCATCTGAGGAAATGTTCAATCCAAGGTGTACACTATCCACAACCAAGCATGTTGGAGGAAGTGTGACGGTTTACGCTGCCTCCTCAATCGGGATAGCCCCTTTTTTAAAAATTGATGGCACGATGACAGGGGAGTTTTACAGGAACATGACACTTTCTTGCCGTGGGCACAGCATCATTGTGAACAGCGAACCAGACTTCCAGAGTGGTGGAACCACTCATTGGACTTGAATCCTATAGAGCGCATGTGGAAAAAGCTCCTCTTTTGGCGTCTTTCGACCACCTTGTCGAAATAATAAGGGAAAATTCTCTCAATAAGCGAAGGGATGAAACGCCTTCTCAGTGTCTACCATTCAAAAGCTAACCGACTCGATGCCTTGTATTTTACACCGAAATTGAATTAAATCTCACTAATGTACCGTCAACAATAACTAACTGCAGTTTAATAGCGGTGAGTATTCCCAATACCCCTTTGATTAACATACTAAAATTCCATTTGGTTTCATGAAGTAAGAGAAAAGTTACAACTGGAAAAGCGTTTCAACGAAGGCTTTCGACTGCTACTGTACGTACAGCAGTATAGGCTTCATTTCAAATGACCACTTTGACTTGGGATCCTTCCCTTGTCAGCAGCATCTTGTGCCATTACGTGAGGCTTAGCTTTGGCCAATTCTATCCAAAGATCAGCCCACACTGAAGTGAAAATTGCTAATTTATTTTTATTTATTAACTTGCGCGAACTCATGCCATATAAAAAAAGAAATCAGAGGTGACGGTAAAACCAAGTAGAGTGTACAACATATCAGAACAACAACATAGCAACTATGGTGTTATGGAATAGTAAAGAAAGACCGAGAAAATGAATGGGTTCAATACAAAAAAAGCAATAGATCGCTGAAAACTTTCCTAAGCCAAGATAACAAGTAACAACTCTTTTGAAGCCCGAAAAGCAACATGGAACCTGCATCTTTTTACTCAATCTTGAGTATTCATAACCATCCCTGAGCGTGTAAAAGCTGCTGCGCAAAACGGGCTTGCTTTCTGAAGCGCAATCTTGATCCTTTGGCCTCTAGTAGAAGACGAATTCAGCAGAAAAAGTCATGCAATTCCGGATCAACTAGACCATGAAGTACTTTATTTTATTTAATTATTTATTATACACCCAGGGGTGCGCCATCAGCACCGGGAGAACTACTGTGATATGAAAATTTCAACAGAACCATGGAACAGAACAAAAAAAAAACAGAAAAGAACAGAACGAAGCTCACTGGAAAAGGAAAGAAATAGGCCACTAGCAGGGACCCTGCTCGATACAACGAAGAACAACCACTAGATTTATGAAAGCTACAACAACCAGTGTATAGGAGACAACCTGAAGACGAAGACTAATTAGTAAAGCAACCCAAACGTAAAATGCGCATGAAAGTAGACAAAATAGCTTGGAGAAACACTGTGATCAGAAGTCAGCAATTCCAATCAACTCCATAAAATCAATATTGGCCAGAACACTCTTAAAGAGAGATGTACTTTTTTCCCAAGGAGATCCATAGGTAACTTGTTGAGCCATTCAGCCGTTCTGTGGAAAAAGGAATCCCTCAGGAGACTACTAACGGCGATCCGTGCATTACGTCTAGAACGTAACTTATGTCTGTAACAGCATAGATTAAGAGGAGGTCTCCGGGTGGACCCCGGCTTGAAATACCAAAAGTAGGAAGAAGTTAAAAGCGTCTCACCTCTGAGGATCCTATAAGCGAGCACCAAATCTGCAAAAACACGCCTATAAAGAAGACTTCAGACCTAGCTCTCTTAGCCGAATACTGTAAGCCGGCATTGTCCTAGGATAACCAGGCTCAGGGAAAACTCGGAAATACACCAATCTAGTAAAAGTCATTATCACCTTCTCCACTTTGGCAATGAGCTTCTTAGTATGCGGGCTCCATATTTGGCTACAATATTCAATGACCGGGAGAACATAGGCTTCATACAGCTTTATCAACACAGCGACATCAGAAGATTTTACAACCCTGAATAAGCCGTAAAGGCAATGGAACGCTTTAGTCACGATGTTCTCAATATGTATGTCCCACTTCAGGGAGTTTGAAATCGTAACACCAAGATCACGTGTATGATATCGATAACAGGACGGTGGCACATTAGCTATGGAGGGAGCAACTGACCTATTACCAAATGACAGCATGCAAGTTTTATCGAAATTAAGCTTCAGATTCATATTATCAGTCCATGTTGACATGGAACCAATCACTCGGTTGAGAATCCTCTCTGCTTCAACAAAGTTCCCCTTATCCGACCTAACAGTGACCTTAACATCATCTGCGAAAGCAAACACTTTAGCGCTTGGATCCACCAGGAGAGCACGAGGGAGCTGCAATGTATAGATGATAAACAAGAGAGGGGAGAGGACCCCACCTTGTGGCACTCCGGATGTAACCGGATATTTACGCGAAAAAGCGTACTCAAATTTGACACAGAAGCAACGGTCGGAAAGATAAGACTTCACCCAATTAAAAAGACTTCCTCTAATGCCGACCAACTCCAGCTTGTGTAGTAGAATACCATGGTCAACTGTGTCAAATGCTTTACTATAAGATCAAAATATACGATGTCAACATTCTCCAATGAATTTAGTGCACGAATACACTCGTGGGTACATGCCAATAGTTGCAAACAAGTAGAAGAGTCCTTCACAAAATCGAATTGCTCGCGAGGAAAGAGGTTAAAGTGATTGAACCAATCAAGAAAACATGTTTTCAAGATTTTTTCCATCACTTTACACGGCGTTGGCGTAATGCTTATGGGTCTAAATTCACTAGGCAGAGAAGCATTGGATTTTTTTGGAACCGCTGTGACAATCGATTCCTTCCAAAGCAGAGGTACCTGGCCAACGATTAGAGTAATATTAAATATATGGCATAGGGGGGTTGCTAGCTTAGAGGCAAACATTTTGAAGAAGATCGGAGGAATGCCGTCCGAAGGGAGAGCCGAAGACTTTTTGAGGCCGCGCAAACATTTGTATACAACATCAGAAGTAATAACCGGCANCAAGGAATCGCCTCAAATGAAAGGTGAAGTCGCTGTCTACTCTATTGTATTCTGTGGAGACTGAAAGATCAACGCAGGCGGAGAATAGTCTCTCCCTTTGCCTATAAAGATTTCTAATATGCCGTGGGTACCTCTCAATGAAAGGAACAGATTTCTTCATCGGAATGAAACGCTCGATAAGATCACAAATAATGGAAAGAAACCTGTCATAGATATCATCAACCGAGAAACAACAATCAAAGACAGAACCAATCAATTTTCCCTAGCTCACAATCAATCGCCTTGATATCCGCCTTGTAAATGTCTCTGAATGTTGTCCCATTCACAAGACTGTCGGGTGTCTCAATCGAAAAAGCAACAATTTTATGATCAGAAGCTCCCAACGGAGGTTTGGTAGAAACATTGGAACATAAATCTAATGGACAGAGGATAAGGGATAGGATAGAGGACCCGCATGTTGGCTCTCGAACATGTTGCGCAAATCAAGCTGAGAAAAAAGCGAGGAAAAGCATTCGTACCTACGTTTTCGCGCTCTCAGTGCATGGGACTCAGGTGAAAAACAATCAATATCGAGGTTCATATCCCCAGAATAACGACATTTCTTGTAGAAGAACATAAATCAGACAAAATGCCACATAACTGCTCATCATCAAGAATACTCTGATTTGGAGGGCGGTACACAGTAACAAAACGAACGGGTCCCAGAGAGAAATCCAAGGAATCGAAGCAAAGAACGTCACCAGCAGTATGTGACAAATCAAATTGAACGAGTTGGAAATTAATGTGCTTTTGTAAAAGAACACAGAGCCCGCCTCCTTTTTTACCTATTCGATCTTTTCGAATGATATTGTACGGTAAGCCAGCAATCACTTCGTTATCCGAATATATGGCACTAAGCCAACTTTCGGTGACAAAAACTATGTGTGGTTTCAGATATTTCAAAAGGTGATGGAACTCTGCGAACTTATTAGCTAAAGTACGCGCATTGAGCAACAAACATGATAAAGGAGAGCAAGTATCATTTTTCCTCAGTTTTTTGAATCCTGCTTCTTAGATGATGCAAGCTTCAAAATGCCCGGGATGTCCGTTTTTTTGACCACTTGTTGTCTAAATACGACAATCACTTTCACCACTAGGTTTAGCCCGGTTTAACTCTTTAGCCCTCAACCGCAATTGTTTATCATTTTCCCGCTCAGCCGGGGTCATAGAACGACGAATAAACACATTTTTAAAACCGGCATGGTTCCTAAGTGTCCTAGCATTCCGTAAAGTTTGAAGAAAAAATTTCCGAGAAGAAAACACGCATTTAATAAGGCGACATTTACCAGGTTCACGTTTGCCCATCCTATAAACCTTCCACGCTCAAGTACTTTATAAAACACAAGAAGATCATTACGCTTTCTTCTAACTGTAATTGGGATTTGAGCTTCAATATCTTATTTCGAATCGCACCACGGGGAATGCCACTATAGGTAAAACCACGAAAACGAATAAATACCCTTTTTTAAAAATATGCTAAACTCTTTCTAACCTATCCACAAAGGGTGTGGGTCGTTAGTTACGACTGAGATTACTTCGCGCCGAGGTCCGAAAAGACCTCAATCGTGACTAACCTCATCTTAATTACGCGCCTCCACTCGGTCGTAACTAACTTCATCTTACAACGAGAGTGATGGCTATTGATGGGAATGATGAGAAAATGAAACTTCAAGAAAATTTTTTCCAACGTAAAATTTTCATAGCTTTTAGTTTAAAAAGTTTTATTACCATGCAAGATGATAGAATTTTCAACAAGAAACTCCAGTAAAATGTAAAGGAGGGAATTTTCAACAAAAAACTCCAGTAAAATGTAAAGGAGCCTTAAACAACTCAGACGGTCCTGTTCGTAACGAATTTGGACACCTCTATGCGAAACTCCTCAATTTGGATGCGATTTGCTCCTCTCCGATGAACTTCGTCGAAGCGGTTGGGTAGGCAGAAGTATTATAGAGCGGAGGCTAAGGTTTTAAGCAAGGCTTCTTTTCTGTAGTCATCGTTTACCCACCAGGCTAAATAGTATTTGAAGAATAATCTCTTCAATATGCAGAACTTACCTTGTAGTATAGTAATGTTCCGTGAGAAGTATGAAATGGCCTAACTGCTCAGTCGGCGGGAGTTCATTGACCTTTCAA